TGGTAACAAGCTATTTCCCTGAAAAGACACGGAGGATTCCTCAGGCGCTTCAAGTCGGGGCTTCTGTGTGCGCTCCACCAAAAGCAGCCTGAGGTCCGGGGCAGTGTCCGTCTCATCGCTGTGCCCCCTACGCGGTTGGGCATGTCACTGGGGCTCGGTAACTTTGGGGCGAATGAATGACCGTGGCTACGGTTAAGGTAACCCTAATCTACACGATTAGGAGGCTGAGAGGTCCCATGGTCTCTCTGTCACCTGTAAGTTGGAGGATCCAGGAAAGCTGCGGGTGTGATTCAGGCCAAAGGCCTGAGACCAGAGGAGCTGCTGGGTAAGCCCTGGGCGGAGGCCAGTGCACAGGCAACCAAAGAAAAAATAGGCCAACGGGACCGCATCAAACATAGAAACCTCACAGTCAACGGAGAGGAAAGACAAGCTATGGAATGAGAGAAATGTTTCAAATCATATATCTAATAAGGAATTCATATACAATATATATATATGCCTAAGTGACTGTGATGACCCACAATGCGCTCCCACACCCAACCTCCCACAGTCCCTCCCCCCGGCTGGCTGGCCCCAATCGGCGCTCCCACAGCCACCCTCCCACAGTCCCTCCCCCGGGCTGGCTGGCCCCAATCGGCCTCCCACTGTGGGAGCACGCTGACCACCAAGGGGCAGCTCCTGCGTTGAGCGTGTACCCCCTGGTGGTCAGGGCGCGTCATAGCGACCGGTCGTTCAGGTCGTTCGGCCGTTCGGTCGCTGGGATTGTCACATGAAAGAGCTCTCTCCCAACAATAGGTATTTACTGAGCATCGACTTCGCGACACGTCCCTCACAGGTGCAGGGTGCGTCTCCTGCAGCGTGACCCTCTCTCCTTCCCCTCCAGGCCTGTATGAAATGGACAGAGGCGGGCACCTGCGCTGGGTCTCGTACGCCAGGTGGAGGCAGTGCCGGTACCTCAGCCGTCAGCTGGAGGCCTTCTCTGCCCTGTGCCAGTCCCTGCTGTTCAACTGGTCCCAGTGGAGCGCTTTCCAAGCCAGCACGGCCCTGTACGTTCTGCTGGGCACACCTTTCTCTGGAGAAAGGGCTTCCCTGGAGGAGAGCGAGAAATCGCCCGAGGAAAGTAAGAAGGCATTTCACGTTGTGACCTAGCTCGACCGCATCCGTGTGTGTGTGTGTATGTGTGTGTGTGTGTGTGTGTGTGTGTGTAGATATCCCCTATGAATGGAATCCGGTAGCTTATATGATGAAAAATGCAAGAGAGGAACATTACTACGTTGTAAGCATGTCTCTTTTTTTTTTTAATATATATTTTTATTGGTTTCAGAGAGGAAGGGAGAGGGAGAGAGAAACATCAATGATGAGAGAGAATCATGGATCGGCTGCCTCCTGCACGCCCCCTACCGGGGATCAAGCCTGCAACCCGGGCCCGTGCCCTTGACAGGAACCGAACCCGGGACCTGTCAGTCCGCAGGCCGACGCTCTATCCACTAAGTCAAACCAGTTAGGGCTATGTAATTTTTCTTGCAAAAAAAAATGACCTAATCACAGGGAAATTCACAATATATCTTTAGGTGGGAAAGACAGACTACAAAAGAATAAATAGTAAAAAGGTTGTTCTGATTTTAACCCGTGCCCTTGACGGGAACCGAACCCGGGACCTTTCAGTCCGCAGGCCGATGCTCTATCCACTGAGTCAAACCGGCGAGGGCTAACAGATGTGTTTTAGGTATTGTTTTTACATAAGAGACGTGTTTTAAAAAATTGCATAGGAAATAGAACTTAATTTAAATGACTTGCTACTTTTAGCATATCTTTTCCATTTTTTTTTTGTTTTTTTTTTTCAGTTTGAGCGCTTCCTCCTCACTTTTCCCTGCCCCTTCCACCCACGTCACCCCTATTCAGGGTTCACCACCCCAAGTCATGTCTCCTTCTATCACCATTTGTCCCCCCTAGGCCAGTGATGGCGAACCTTTTGAGCTCGGCGTGTCAGCATTTTGAAAAACCCTAACTTAACTCTGGTGCTGTGTCACATGTAGAAATTTTTTGATATTTGAAACTCTAGTAAAACAAAAATTTATATTTTTGATATTTATTTTATATATTTAAATGCCATTTAACAAAGAAAAATCAGCCAAAAAAATGAGTTCGCGTGTCACCTCTGACAGGCGTGTCATAGGTTCGCCATCACTGCCCTATGCTCTCCTCCACCTCTCCCTTCTCCGCCCGCCCCGCTGCAGTCACTGCACTGTTGTCTGTGTCCAAGGCTTCTTTCTCTTCTTTTGCCCACTTCCTCTACCCCCTCCACCCAACCCCACCGTCAGCCTGCTCTCCACCAATGAGTCTGTCTCCACTCGGCTTGTTAGCTCATTGCGTTCATTTGTGGCATCTCCTAGTGAGCCCAAGTGTTCAATGGTTAATCCTCGTCCCTTTTCTCTCAATTGTGTCCAGCTGAACTGCCGAATGAACACGAAGAAGTACATCGTCCTGTAAATTTCCCCTGGGAGAAACTCACTCCGTTTCAAAGACTTATTTTGGTAAGACGAGCTGAGAGCGGATAATCGGTATTCTCCATGTTTCGAGCCCTTGCACAGTAACTAAACGCCTCCGATTTAACGTCGAGCCGGCCGCCTGGCTGGTGTGGCTCAGGGGTCCTTGGGGTTAAGGACGAGAACCGTGGAGGAAGTTTATGTAAGTGCTTGGTTGGTCCAGGAGACGGAGCAGGAGCCAGCAGCCTGAGGGTGACAAAGGGCCGTGACCAACCGCGCAGAGAGCACAGGTCCTCCCAGCGATGGTGGCCGGGCCCCACCCGTCCCCGTTTGCTTTTCTAGATAAAAATTCTCCGACCAGAGCGTTTGAAGAACGCGGTGAGAAAGTTCCTGACTGAAAAAATAGGAAGTGAGTACATTCACAGAACCGGAACTAATCTGAAAGAGTCCTATAAAGTTTCCAACGCCAGGACTCCCATGGTACTCATTCACTCGCAGGGTAAGCTGCTGCCACACCGGTAAGATGATGCCACTGTCTGTCAAAAGATGTGGGGAAATAGGGCTGTGTCCGCTTTAAAAGATTGTCCCATTCGTACTTAAACATTTGGAAAAGGGACAGATTACAATTTTAAAGCACATTGAGAATGAACCATTCGCCCGGCCAGTGTGGCTCAGTGGTTGAGCTCCAACCTGCGAACCAGGAGGTCTCAGTTCAATTCCCAGTCGGGGCATGTGCCCAGGTTGTGGGCTCCATCCCCAGTAGGGGGTGCACAGGAGGCAGCTGAGCAATGATTCTCTCTCATCATTGATGTTTCTATCTCTCTCTCCCTCTCTCTTCCTCTCTGAAATCAATAAAAATATGTATTTTCTAAAAAAAAAAAAAAGAAATAATGAACCCTTGTAAAAGGGCAAAAAGGAATAAGATTTACAAATAATGGAAACATTTTCAGCACTAGTTTTCTGTGCAAACAGGAAATATCTCCCAAACACATATTATTGATCAGAAGGTTGAGTTTTTCCCTTGTACCTGTTAACTGTTTAATTGACATCAACTCACGAAAAATATGTCTGTTAGAAAATAAGCTATCAGGAATTGGTCCTTCTGATCCGGCCCCTGTATTCCTCAAAACACCAAATGCGTTTCTTTTTCATTTTCTTGTCTTGGATCTGCAGACCCTAAGCAAAATATTTTCTTCATCTGTCTTCGGTTCCTCATCACCTCCAAATCAAACACGTCTTTAGGACTCACCATTTCCAAGCTTTGACTCCCCTGGGCCAAAATCTCGTTCAAAATGCCTTTCATGTACAGACCTTCTCGTCGGAAACTTTTCTGGGTAAAACAGCTGGCTCTGTGCCTGCCACCCGGGGGCCATCCACTTAAGACTTAGCCCGAGATGGCAGCGAGGGTGCTAGGCATCACGGATCCAAGTTCTAAGCAACAGGATGGAGGGAAAGGACGGTTTTACACACCTGGGTAACGAACGTGGCTGCCAGCGCCTACTCACAAAACTTAGATGCCCATCCCTCGCGTCAAGAGAGGCGGAGCCTTGAGTGGTCTGGCTCAGTGAATAGAGCGTCGGCCTGCGGACTGAAGGGTCCCGGGTTCGATTCTGGTCAAGGGCATGTACCTTGGTTGTGGGCACATCCCCAGTGAGGGGCGTGCAGGAGGCAGCTGATCGATGCTTCTCTCTCATCGATGTTTCTAACTCTCTCTCCCTTCCTCTCTGTAAAAAATAAAATATTTTTTTTAAAAAAAAGAGAGAGAGAGAAGCGGAAAATACAGTATTTCAGCTGGGTGCACGGCCATCCCAAGTAACACTGGGCTTCAGCCTCAGAGGAGGAGGGAGCAGTGATGTTGGCGTCGATGACAGAGCGGCTGCCTTGGTCGGGAGTACCCCGCCCCCATGAGCCAGGAAGCCTCGGTTCCCACCCCACCGCCACCTTCTCCCACCACCGCTCACAAACGCGAGGCTGTACTCCAGGGGGGTCCTACGAGCTTACGGTTGCCCGTGCCTCTCTGCACTGTTACCCAGGGGTGGACGTCATCAATACACTCCTGAAGTTCGCCCAGGAGTTGGAAGGAACCCCCCAGCACGTGACCATGATTTCTCTGGGCCAAGGCCAGGCAGCTAAAGCGGAAGACCTGATCGCGGACGCCCTCGCCAAAGCCGGGCAGTGGGTCTTCCTGCAGAACTGCCACCTCGCCGCGTCCTTCATGCCGCGGCTCTGCACCATCGTGGACTCGTAAGTCACCCGCGGGCTTTTTTTTTGGTGTTTTTGTTCTTGGGTTTTGGGGTTTGTTTTTTGTTTTTTGTGGGTTTTTTTTTTTTTTTGCTTTTGTTGCTTCAGTTTGTTTTGTAAATTAAAAAGTAAT